TAGAACATTCCCTTGAATCAGCCAGTGTTGCTCAGAATTTCCATCTGAGATGGGAGGAAAAACTTGCCCCAGAATATAAACCAGAAAAATGTTTCTTCCTTGTGAAAGTCTGCATATCCTAAGTAAAAAGCCGTGGAACCAAATAGAATTCTTGGTGTCTGGTGGTTAAATTCCATTTTGTTTCAAAATGGAATGAAAATATTCCATTTTGTAATTAATGTATAATGTGACATATGTAAATATACACATAAATATGTGTGAATGCCTGTATGCTGCTTAGTTTTACTTGGCATGAATGAAATAATTATAATGTTCTAAAACTTACATTTTTTTATTCATTGAAGTACTTAGAATTCTCTTCTTGCATGTGGTAAGAATAAGTATTAAATTTTTATTTTAGGCAAAATAAAGAAAGTGAAGGAATTTTGGGTAAAATTTTAGATAAAATTTAAGTAAAGGAATCTATTACAGTACCTGTTACTGTGATTTATTGTGATATTTTCTATTTTGTTACCAGCTTAGTAGGTATAAAATAATATAACTCCATGATCTTTATACATTGTTCCAGAGCTGTACTGATAGTGCAAGGCATTTGTCTTCCTTTTAGCTGACCCTGGTTCTATTCCTGTTACTGCATCTGGTCCCTGAGCACCAGCACGGTCACTTCAAAGGACAGAGCTTAGAATAGCCCCTGAGGACCACTGTGTGTGGCCCAAACTCACTTCACAATATGGTTTTCCCCATTTAATAGTTAACTACTCCATCTTAGCACAGCAGGTAGGGTGTTTGCTTTGCACACTGCTGACCCGGGTTTGATTCCTCTGCCCCTCTCACAGAGCCCGGCAAGCTACCAAGAGTATCTTGCCCACACGGCAAAGCCTGACAAGCTCCCCCTGATGTATTCGATATGCCAAAACCAGTAACAACAAGTCTCACAATTTGTTGTAAGATGTTACTGGTGCCCACTTGAGCAAATCGATGAACAACAGGAGGACAGTGCTACAGTGCTTGTACAACTAGAAATATAAAATAATAATATTTTCCTATTTCTCTTTAAGCCAAGATTTTTAATCTTGATTTTTAACTTCTCTTTAAATCAAGATTTTCCTTTAATTAGGAAAATTAAAAGTAATTTTAACTTTATTAAAATTAATTTTGATAATAAAATTTAATTAATTGTCATATATTAAATAATAAATTTTAATTAATAATAAAATTAAAATTAATCAGGAAAGCAGATAACAATTACCTTCTTTGCAGTAACAAATCAGAAAATGTTTGATGAATTACCTTCTTAAAATGTAACAGCCATAAAATTGTGTCCATCAAAAAAGCTAGAACTATAGAACAGCAGCTAGAGTGCTTGCCTTGCATGTGGCCAATCTGGGCTCAATCCCCATGATCCCACTAAGTCCCTTGAACCCTGCCTGAAGCGATTCTCAGGAATCTGTGTTCAGACTCAGAGCTGAGGAAAGCTCCGAGCACAGCTGAGTGTGATCCCCCAATAACAACAACAAAAACTGCATCTGTCCAGTAACCTGCATCCAAATGGGAGTTACTAACCCATTTCCATATGATGACAGTGCTGTAGTCAGGCTTTCTTTGAGTCCAAGGAAAGACCCAGGTCTGCTTCCCTATGCAAGCCCGATGATTTTCAATTCCTTTCAGTAGCAAAGAGAAAAATTTAAGATCCAAGAAAAAATGGCAAAATCCAGAATTTTCTTGTGTTATTTCATGATAACACTGACTATTATATTTGTACAATACATAATATATACTAGAATTATTAGATTAATAATATGTACAATCATTTGTAAGTCTGTGCAAAGAGAGATAAGGAAAGCAAAAGTGAATTTGCTGCACCTGTTATCTGAGTATTTGGCATTCTTAACAAGTTAAATCCCCAGGAAGCAAGATTAATAAATGACAGGGGAAATGTAAATTGCATTATCATCTTCGACATGCTAATATACATGGGCACTGAAAATCCGATTGAAAGGGAACGGGCTTATTAAGCTGTGGCATGCTGCAATTTACATATCTCTCCGTCCAGATGTGAGGAGAGAAATGAGAATGGAGTGGGCTCAGATCAGCAGGGGATAAGGAGGAAAAGGACAAGTGAGCACTGGCTTCCACTGTGGACAACTGAAGGAACATGGAGACAAGTTGGCCAACTGGAGAAAATGCAACATGGTGAAAAGATTGACTTCTATTTTTCCCAAAATAAATCTGGCTCTATGTACTCCTCTGCTGCATTCTGGAACAGCAGGAAGAACAGCATGACTGGCCCTCACTGGCCAGCCCCTGTACAGCCCTGTTGGCCTTCCAATTGAAATGAGAAAGCAGATGTCCCGATGTCATGAAGATCCACTGGTAGTCAGGCCCTGCCCATGGCACCAGTGCAAAAGGATCTTTTCTGGAATAGGGGACCAAGACAAGCAGAGGGAGCATCCCCAGACACCTACCATGACTGTCCAACCAGTGGTCAAACAAGAAACTAGAGTTTTCTGAATTTAGAGAAATTTTCTGAGTTTAGAGAAATTCTCTAAATGATATTGTAGCAGATGGCCCAAAGTCAACACAAAACCTCAAGAATCACCACCAGGCTGCCATTATTTTCACTCCTTGCCCCCTTAGGTAGGTGTGTGGCTTTTGCTAACTTGCAAATATTTAAAAAAAATATTTGAAATACTGGGATTTACAATACTGTTAATTATACTGTTCATTTTTACTTCATTTCAACACCAGAATTTTCTTGTGTTATTTCACATTCACCACAGCCTGCTTGCTTTCACCACTGACAACACTTTCTTTTATTAACTAGGGATCTCCCCCAAAGATCCAAATGTTGGATAAATGGAATCAAAAAGCTGGAAAGAAGGTGAAGAACCATAAAACAAAGTAATAAACCTTCATAGGAATGTGAGCATTTCATATTTTCAAACACCAACAACGGTAAACACACTTCAAGTATTTGTTGCATAAACAAATACATTTCAGTATTTGTTGTAATAAACCTCTCTTTTATTTCCGCTTTTGATTAGGGTAAAATTTAAATATCTACAAAGAAAGGAGAACAGTACAACAAATTCCAAAGTATCCATCACCCAGATTCAGTCATGATTAACATTCTGACCTCATCTTGCCCTACTCTCCCTTCTATTATTACTATCATAGTTTTATAGTTTTTAAGGTGGATTATATATATATACAATGAAATCATAAATATTACATTTTGACTGAGTTTGACTGTGTAATACATACAGCAATCACAACCTAGAACATTCTCCCTCCTCAGAAAGTATCATGTGTCCCTTTTTATACCTGCAGATACAATATTAATCCAATAAAATACATTTCCTTCAGAGCAGAAAAATATTAAGAGAAGCCAGCATCTGTTCAGCAGGCTTTACAAGGCTTATAATCAGTTTTGTACATAATGAATGCAAAAATTTGATACCTAAATTAAACTCAGGTACCCTTCTCTTCACAGACAGTATTCAGGAATAAAGCCTTATTTTAAGAAGGAATGCTTCAATAACTTGTAACAAAAAGCACTATTTCTGGAGCTCTTTATCTTTTTATTAATTTTAATAGTACTCCAACAAAAGTATAGGCCCATCAACACTGCCTAAGACACCACAATGCTAAGTGGCAGACTCAGCAGCAATTATACGATGCGGTGATTTCTGACCCTCACTACAGTGATGCTAGTGATACTCACAGGACTCAGAGCCCACCCTCAATCCCCTAGTATTCTCTTCAAAAAAGTAGGGATCCTCTACAGTAATCAAAACAGGAAAGGTGGTAACAATAGCTGCACTAATGAATATACATAGTAATGAAGCAGGGATTCAAAGTCTGTGTTCTCTGACTCCATTAAACTGTTAGATTCAACAGTAATGGCACAATAAAGGTAAGCACACACAGTGTTAATAACATGTAAGTCATGATATTCTGTTGGACTACTGTCGTTGTTCTGACTTATTTCCTATCTTCACTCCTCAGTCATGCTGGAATATGAGAAAGCTCAACCTACAGAAGGGCCAAGAAGGAACATCCACTCATAGTCCCCTTTGCTGCCTCTTCTGGGAGGAGCTGAACTCTCTGGGGTTGACTAGAGCCTGGGAAGGAACAAGAGTCTCAAGCCTTCAACAGCATAAAGTGCTTCTGCTGTGAGGAAATGGTCCCCTGTGAGCCGGGGCCCTTCCTAGTCTGCCTGTGTGCAGACAGCGCTAGGCAGGGGAGGGGCTCCAGGTGAGATCAGTCCCTCATAAGGATTAGCTACTGGGGCGCAGGAGGAGACCCCACCTGGTCTCAGGTTCTGGACGCATTCCTTACCATTAATGATTTCTGGTAACATGGTCAATATTTGGATATTGGGTCTCTTCCGAACTGACTGGAATTTGGGGAGGAGAGATACAACAACGAGAGTGCTCAACTTCTCAGTAGTCATGATCGTTATTCTTCCTCTCAGTTCAGGACCACACCTTTGCTTTTTGGTGTCCCTCTAGGGCAGATTTCCCTACTTTATTTGCCTATGAAAGCCTTTTCAGAGAAATAAATCATTCAGCAACTCCTGGCAATCTCCTTTAGCGAGCAAAGAGAGAACCCTGCCTCCAGTTGCACCTGAGTCTACTACTGCCTCCCAAGATTGTTCCAGCACCTGGGGTCGGGGTGGGAGCCCTGGGAAACCCTATTCTAAATAGACAGTGTACAATCAGTAAGTTGAGGCAGCTTCCAGGAGGTATCTTTATAGCCCAACTATTGACAGCTCGATTTGGCCTTCAGCACTGTTTGACAATTCTTTCCCCCATCCCGAGTGGGGAGACAGACCTCCGCCACCACCAATAAAAACAACCAGATTCTCAACACCATCAGCACCAACAATACCCTCCCCACAACAGCGCAGCGAATCCCACCACCAGCTTTGTGAAGATTCAGAATCACAAACTGCTGGTGACAGTATTCAACCAATAAATGCCCATTAATGCTGTTACCTTGTTCTCCTCTGGTGTGAAGAGGACTCTGAATGTGGATGGCACGCCAGGAGCTACTTTGTGACCGACATCTTTGGGGCTGATGACTTTAAAGTAAGGTGAGCTCTCCTCGACCACTTTCACCATCCTTGGAATCTGCAGGAGAAACCACAGGGAGAGATGGAAACTGGGCATAGGAACCAGAAGCCTGGGCCACACACAGGCTTTGTGGTTTACAGAACACCCATCCTACCCTTGCACTTGTTTCCTCAGTGGGAAAGTGAGAGGCCATACTCAAAGTAACCAATCCACGTATTTAACTTGAATTTTTTCACCAATACTATCTATGATTATTTGTTGGGATTACAAATCTTTGCTCATTTTATGTCAAGATAACTATTGCCAAAACTAACTGCTTCACTTAATCACTTAACTTCCCGTTAGTCGTCGATTTGTTCGAGCGGGCACCAGTAATGTCTCCATTTGTCCCTGTCACATGATAGTGTAGCCCAATGGCATCTGTTCGCTCTGGGAACATGAAGAGCCTCAAATCGATCATTCATGATCTTGAACGATGAAGAAGTCTGACCATCTGGTAGGTGGGCGGCCACGCGATCTTTTGACATCCCGTGGAATCCAGTCGGTAACAGCTCTAGTCCAGCAGTCGTCTTTAAATCTCATTACGTGACCAGCCCATCTGATTTTTGACACCTTGTCAAACGAGACAGCGTCCCTGATTTTTGATCATCGACAATTGTAGGAACTCCGGATTCTTTCTCTCATTTGAGTGAAATGTGATATTCCAAGCATAGCTCTTTCTATTCTTCTTTGGGAGACCTGAATAGCGTTATCCTGTTTGCGTAGGGCCCAGGTCTCTGAGGCATATGTTAATGCAGGAAGAACAGTGGAATCAAAGAGATGTGCCCAGAGCCGGAGGTTCTTTGTCCTCTTAGCTATTTCTTCGATGTTCTTGAAGGCATTCCAAGCCGCTCTCTTCCTCCTGCGCAGCTCAGGTGCCAGGTCATTTGTCATGTTGACTTCTCGACCTAGGTACACATAGCTGTTGCATTCGGAGACAGTCATTCCGCTGAGAGCGAATGGGGCATCAGGAACGAGGCTGTTTCTCATAAATATTGTCTTTGTAAGATTCAGCTGTAGTCCTACCTTTCCACACTCACGGTCAAAGTCGGCCAGCATTTGTGCCACTTGGCTGATGTTTGGTGTTATTAAAACAATGTCATCAGCAAAGCGGAGGTGGTGCAGTTGCCGACCATCTATCTTCATTCCCATTCCTTCCCATTCCAGTCATCCCATGATGTTCTCGAGGGTGGCACTGAAGAGTTTCGGTGAAATGCTATCACCCTGCCAAACCCCTCTCTTGACATCAATGATTACTTCTTTGTAGAATGGTGAGATCCTGGTAGTGAATCCGCAATACAGCTCACGGAGGATCTTGATGTATTGGGCTTGAATGCCCTGATTGGCTAGGGCTTCAATGACCACTTCCATCTCAACAGAATCAAAGGCCTTCTTTAAATCATGAACGTTAAACAGAGCGGCATCTTGAACTCCCAAGAAACCTCAATGAGCTTGGTTATTGTGTGGATATGGTCGATGGTGCTGAATCCTTTGCGGAACCCGGCTTGCTCGCATGGTTGTCCTTCATCTAGTGTTCTGTCAATCCTATTTAGGATGACTCGAGTGAACAACTTGTAGATGACAGACAATAGGCAGATCGGGCGATAGTTGCCAATGTCATGGATGTCTCCCTTCTTGAACAGTAGTACGGTCCTGCTGGTTTTCCATTGGGACAGAACCTTGCATTCAGACAGGTAGCGTGTGAAAAACTGAGCCAGTGTATTGATGAGTACTGACGGCATGTTCTTCAGGTGTTCGGGTCTGACCTTGTCTGGGCCCGGTGCTGTTTGTTTCTTTACTGACGGAATGGCGTGTCGGATTTCGGAAGGGAGAACGTTGGGAACGACATATCCATCCTGTGGAATTTGGTATGTCGGCAAGTGGACATGGCTATCGAAGAGATTTGAGTAGAAGTCATGGATAATCTTCTCCATTGCCGTTCTGGAGGATGTGATGGATCCATCAGGACATCGGAGGGCAGTCATCTTGGTCTTGTAGTTGGCAAAGGACAGGCGGGCGTTACGAATACTTTTCCCAGCTTCTGCCACATCTACCAGCACTTCTGCTCTTCTCTCTTTGAGGTCTTCCTTGATCACATCTCTGCACTACTTTGCGAGCTCGGACTTTAGCTTGCAGTTGCCTGAGGCATGCACCAAACCACGCTGGCGAATAAGCTCAAGAGTTTTCGAAGACAGGCGTTTTTTTGTGGCTAGCTCTCTCTTGGCGTTCCTCACACAATCATGGAGGTGCTGTACCAGTCGATCATATTCCTCGTCAATGTTGTCAACAATGGCATCTTCCCACGTTGCCGCAATAGTGCCAAAGAGCTCCCAGTTGGTGGTCGTTCTGGCAGTTCTCTTTTTAAACTTTGCAGCCCTTTCTCCCCACTCTGTGAAGTAGAATTTTGCACGAAGGAGACGGTGGTCCAATCCCGTTCAGAATTTTGGGACAACAGTGACATCGGTCAGGCAAAACCGTCGATTGAATATGATGTGGTCTATTTCGTTGTGGAATCGTCCACCGGGAGACTCCCATGTCCAACGTTTAGATTCTGCCTTCTGGAACTGTGAGTTACCATGGATGGTCTTGGTCGACATGATGAACTCAGACAGTCTCTCACCCTGTTCGTTCCATTCTAGGCCATGGGTCCCGATGTGAAGTTCTTCAGCTGATCTTCTCGGTCCTATCTTGGCATTAAAATCACCCACAATGATCTTGTAGAAGGTGTGGTCTTCTTTATAGAACTTCTCCAGCTCCATGTAGAACTTCTCAATTTCTCTTTCATCATAATGAGATGTTGGTGCGTAGACAACGAAGATAGAAACTGCCGGCAGTGAGCCACATCTTTTCAAATGTAAAGTCCAATTCGGTTGTTAGGCATTCGAATGAATCAATGCTCATGGCCAAGTTTGTGTTGACAAGGACACCGAAGCCTCCGACACCTCTTTTATCGCATGTTCCGAGGAACAATTCTTCTCCAGTGTCGAAAATGGCATGGTGAGATTCGTGCCTTCTTGTCTCAGTCAGACCAATGATGTCGTACTTGATCATTCGCGCTTGTACCATCAGGTCCTCGATGGATGCATCTGATGCTAGCGTACGTGCATTGAAAGTACAGACAATCATTTTTGTCTTCCTCCGTTGTGGCAGCCTAGTTCGGCCTTGAGATTTTATCGGCCTCTCCTGTCTCATCCTTCTCAGTGCTGCCATGTCTGTGAAACCTTCAGGGTCAGGTGAATGAGACCCATTGTAGTTACTGGTTTTGGCACATCGAATACACAACGGATAACTTGCCAGGCTCTTCCGTGTGGGCGGAATACTCTTGGTAGCTTGCCAGCCTTCCCGAGAGGGATAGAGGCTTTTGGGGCGACCTCTAATTGCCCTCGTAGGTGTTACCATATTTGAACCCTATCAAATATGGTACGGCAATTCTGGAAGATGGGTATTTAGTGTCTTATGATGTGTTGTGGTTTTGCGGCCGCGTGGGTCCAGAAAGCATCCTGGAGTGTAGCAGCGACTTGCTAGTGGAGGTAGTGTCAGTAGTGGAGGTCTGCCAGTGGGGTATATATCTGGTCCCGGTAGGGGTAGGGTGGGTCTTCTGTGCGCAATCCGATCCCTGGGTCTCTGGTGGTTGGTGGAAGCAGAGAGGGCAGGGTAGGGTGGGGCTCCTGATTAGAATCCCTTTGTCACCTGTGGTTGGTGGGAGCAAGCACAGAATCTCTGTCCCTGGGTCCGTTGAGCCTTGAGTCCAAGGTCTCAGAGAGTTCCGCTTATCTTGTTCTGTGGGTCTTCAGTTGTGCTGAATCTCGGCCAGAGCTGCCATGCGGGTCCGGAAAGTGTTCTGGAGTGTGGCGGCGGCTGGGTAGTGGCGGTAGTGACTAACTGCTTAATCATTTAAAACCCTATCCACTGGTGAGTTAAGCTTGAATTCCCAGTGCAGGAGAAGGCTCTGAGAAGAAAGTATGCATTCCTGCACAGGAAACATACTTAATCCTCACGTGGTCTTGCGCCTTCTTGAGCCTCCCATGCTATGGTTGAAGAAACAGGAGGCCCCATGTGGTGCAGCTTCACCAAGCAACGGGCTGAGATTCAGGGCTCAGCCCAGACCCCATTCCTCCCACAGGGTTGCCCTAAGTAACCAGTGCCATGAGGTAAGGACAAAGGAAGGGGTACAAAGTTCCCCAGGCTGGTGCCAGACTTGCCCACCCCACCAGTAGGAAAGGAAAGGCAGTGTAAATAAACTGGTCAGGGATGGACACTCAAGGGCAGGGTTTTGTCTTAAGAAACAAAAAGAAGTGATGAAAGTTAACTGTAATTCATGAGAAATCTCAAATGAAAAGTAAGGAATAAAAGAACTGTCCCATCCCTGAATGCTGAAACTCAGCTGAGGAAGGGACATAAAAATGCAGAGAGAATTTAAACTTTCAGAGTGGAGGCGGGGAGGGCAGAGAAATAAAAGCGAGTCTGTAGGAAGGGAACAGCTTCTGGTCATGGGCCTCAGTGTCATTTATAACGTGCTCTATGACACCAGGCCAGAGTATAGCTGTGTGTTAAAAACTGGGACAATGCCAATAACACTAATAACTAGATCAACAGCAAAAATTACACTTTCCTGTACCATGGCCTCAGACCATCCACTGTCAGTAAACACACTTGATCCTTACATGGTCTTTGCAGGGATTTAAGCCTGGATACCTGGAAGAATTTCTTCTCCCTGTAGACACTTTTAGCTTCTTCCCCTGGAGCTTTTTTGCTGACACTCCAGCCACAAAGAATTAAATATGCCATTTTCTCCAGTGTCTCCGTGCTGTCCCTAGGCCCGCCCTGAACTCTGCAGGCCTGACGACTCGTTCAAGAGCCCCTGTACTGCTCCGGTGGACTGGTTTCTCGCAGAGGCTTCACTTATTTCTCATTTCTGCCTCTTCTAGAATATGTCTCCACAATCCCAAGTCTTGTACAGATTCTGACCTGTCTCCTCACTTCAAGTCCGGTACCTCCCCACACTCTGCTTATACTCGCACCCTTGGCCACGCTGTACACTGACCTGTATGTGTGGAATTCTCTTGTTCATGCCTGTTAGGTGAAAGGTAATTTTCAGGGCACTTGATACCTCTCCTTGAAATAAAACCTAATTGATCTCTAACATGAAAAGCAAATGGATGGTGAGGACATCTTCAGTCATCACCCTCAAAGGACAATGCATGGACAGTGAGAGAAGACTCAAATGAAATCTAAAGGCCACTAATATAGAAGGGGGAGATATAAAAAGAAGGCATCTGGGGCCAGAGAGATAGCACAGTAGGTAGGATGTTTGCATTGTAAGCAACCATCCCGAGTTCAGTCCCCAGCACCCATGTGGCCCTCTGAGCACCTCCAGGAGTTATCCCTGAGCACAAAGACAGGAGTAAACCCTAAGTATCTCTGTATGTGGCCCAAAAACAAAAATAGAAAAGGAAGAGATCTATATTCATTTTCAAGAATGAAGAATAAAGAAGCATGAACTCAACAACCATGACTCATCTGAGCAGAGATGACTCCTTCAGCTGAAGACATGGGACTCTGAAGACAGACAGACATGAACATGCCCTGTGCTTCATGACACCTGGCCCAACTGACCTCATGGTGGAACTCCATGACATTCATCTAGACAACCCTTCAATCAACAGAAATTCAACGCCCATGAGAGAAACTTGCTGTTGTTGGCACTGCCCCAGGGCTGACTACAGAGCAACAAAAATCCAACATAGCTTAGCCAAAGAGGATCCAAAGTGGGTTAAGGCCTTCGGAGTGCATGGTGCAGCCCCAATTCTATCCCCGACATGAACACTGCCAGGGTTCATTGCCCTTGTGTATTGCTGGGAGTGGCCCAATCCCACTCTACCCCCTCCAGAAAAGAATGATTACTCAAAAGGTCTTTTCCACACATTTTCCTCAGTCTACAATAGAATGCACCTAAGTACCCATAAGATCCCTTTTTATTTAGCCTATTTTTGTAAATCCAGGGATGGCTGCATATGTACAGCGAAGATACTCACTGTGTCATTGTTCCTTAAAATCAGCGGAACCTCATAGACTTCACAGGGCATGTAGTTTTGGAAGATGATTTCTGATGGGAAGGGCTGGAAGAGTGCCTGATCCAGGTCAATTTTTGAAGTCTACAGTGGAAAGAGTTCATCACAGTCACTAAGTGGCAAAAAAAAATAACTATACATGTCTATGAATATTAAAACCAAGAGCATAATAAACACTCAAAAGGGATAATTACTATAAACACTAATTGCTATAATTAGCTAATTATTGTCATCAACCTTCCTAACACTAAGGAAAGTAGAAATGTTGGTCCTCAGTTTAAAAGCTACAGGATAAAAAGAGCAGCAACCCTCGACTTCTATTCCTAGTAAATATGAATAAAGTTGTTTGAACCCTCTGCCCTGTAAAAATAAACTTAAAGTTGTATAAATAAATATGTGCATAAGGCACTCAATATCAAACATGCTAATGAAGAGTTTACAGGCACAGAATCCAGGAGGAGACAAATAACTGGGATGGAAGGTAGAATGGATGAGAAAATGAGATGATATCTTCTCTTAAAATAGGATTAAAACCAGACTACTTTCTCCCCTATTAGTATTTATTCTAAAGACTAAAAAAGGCAAGGAAAGAAATGTTCCTCTAGATTCTCCCAGGATGGGAGAAGCATGCTGAAAGTAGTCTATAGACCAAACATTATTGCCACTCAATGCCTCTCTTGCAAACCACAACACCCAAAAGGAGAGAGAGAGAACAAAAGGGAATGCTCTGCCACCGAGGCAGGGTGGGATGGGCGGGGTGGGGGTGGGAGGGATACTGGGACCCGTGGTGGTGGAAAATGGCCACTGGTGGAGGGATGGGTAGTTGATCGTTATATAACTGAAACCCAAGCACAAAAATCTGTTAAGTCCATAACTGTACCTCATGGTGTTTCGCAAAAAAAAAAAAAAAAAAGTTAAAAAAAAGAAAAAAAAGAAAAAAAAGAAATTGGGAAATCTAAACTCTGGAACTTTTTAGACTTTTATTTTGTAGCTATTGCTTGGATGATTTGTGTTGTGTGCTCATAACCATAAAAATATGTTTGTGCTATAGTGAAAAAAAAATGTTCCTATATAACTTCCAGCAGGGCTGCAACCCTGTTCACCCACTTGAACCGTCCTCACTACAAACGTGTGAGAAGTAGAACTGCAGTGTTTGCAGTCACACAGTCGGTAGTGGCCTGATACAGTAGCTAGAGCAGAAACTATGACTCTGTCCACATCTCTGAAAGGACAGCAGGGCTATACCACAAAGTGCTGCACCACAGAATCATGATATTCCTGGGACACAGGCCTCAGTCCTTGAAAGGGAACTGAAAAGGCAAGTCTGGGCTGTTGATGCTCACAGGATTTCAGCAGAAGTAGAAACATCCTCCCTGGAGAAAGAGAGCACCATTCACAGGGATTGAGCATTTCTTACTAACATTTTAATTATGAAACCTTATAATGATTAGAAAAAAACTTCTGGGGCTTAGTACACTGGTTCATGCAGCTGTCTTACATGTTGCAAACTCTGGTTTGCTCCACAGCACCCTATATGGTCCCCTGAGCTCCACCAGTAATGATCCCTGAGTGCACAGCCAGGAGGAAGCCATAAGTCCCACTGGGTGTGCCCCCTCCACCTGCAGCCAAAAAAAAAAAAAAAAAAAAAAAGGAAAAAGGTTCCAAAATCATTAAAAATTTGAAAGTTTAAAAATGAGTAGCATTCAGGGCTGGAGTGATAGCACAGTGGGTAGGGCATTTGCTTTGCACGCAGCCAACCTGGGTTCGAGTCCCAGCATCCCATATGGTCCCCCGAGCACTGGCAGGAGTAATTCCTGAGTGCAGAGCCAGGAGTAACCCCTGTGCACTGCCAGGTATGACCCAAAAAGAAAAAAAATAGTAGCGTTCAGGGCACCCAGAGGGTGGCCGGTGAAAGCCCTCCCCACCCCAAGAGACCCAACTCCGGCAGCCCAAAACCTCCACAACCCAACTACCAGCACACTCAAGGCCGCTCCCCACACACTCGGGCCGAGCCTCACATATGAGTGAACATATTCCTGGACTGCACGGCCGCTTTGACACATCATAAGACAGTTCCTTCCCATTCTCCATAATTACCACACCATATTTGATGGGGTTCAGACAGTAGGCAACAAATCATAGAAGGAAATAAATATATATGCATATATACACATTTTCAGATATACATACCAAAGCTCACATCACCCAAACTTTAACATGTTGTGATATCCTACAGAATGTCTTAATGGCTCCTACCAAAATAGAACAATTTTCACACTGTTTCCTATATGAACACTTTTTTATAAGCATGTTCAGCAGTTCTTCATAACAGACAATACAAAATATATTATTTTGGTTGTGTTTGGCTTGGGATGGAAACATCCTGAATTTGGTGGTGGGAAGGTGTAATGGCGGTGGGATTGGTGTTTAAATATTAAATATAATCAAATATTGTGAACTAACTTATAAAATAAAAAAAACTAAAAAAGAATAGTGCATATTTCCTACCACCAATGTCCCCTAACGCCCCTAAATATAGGTGGTATTTAGAATAACTGGAAGAGGGAATGCTATGGTTTAAAGTGGGATAACTAGATAACCCTTTGTCCCAGAGAACAGAGAAAAGGAAAGAAACAGAGTGGAGGGGAAGGGGAGAAGAGATAGATGAGAAGCAATGGGGTGTGGGGAGAAGAGGCGTAAAAGGGAGTTAGGTATATCGGTGGTATTAAGGAGTGATAGAGTTAAACACCCAAGCCAAAGTCAACAGCACTGAAATCATGAGACCCAAAATTTAACAACCGACCTTAAAAAAGTGCCTGTCAAGAGAACAGGCTGGGGTGGTGGGGTAATGGGAGAGAACCTGAGAACATTGGTCGAGGGAAACTGATTCTGGTGGTGGGATTGGTGCTAGAACATTGTATGTTTAAAACTCAACTATGAGTAACTTTGTAAATCATGATGCTTTAATAAATTAAAAAAACAGTCAATCACGATATTTTAATAAATTAAGAAAAAACAATCAAGTGTAAATCATAAAACTATAGTAGCTTAAATTAAGGATTTAACATATGCATATAATAGCAGAATAAGTATACCTGAAAAATTAGTAAACTAGGAAATTGGTAAGACAAAATATTCATAACTAATAATAATGATAGACAATATAGAATAGTTACATATAAATATGTATCTATTATAATAAATCAAAAACTCTGAGATAAGTATAATTGAAGTCTTATAACAAAAATATTTGTGTTGAGATAACATTTGATAAATTAATATCAGAAAGTACCTCCAGGAGTAAGTTCTGAATGCAGAGCCAGGAGTACCCCTGAACACTGCCAAGTATGGCCCAAAAACAAAAACAAAAAACATTTTTTCAAGTGTTCTGTATCAAGGGTATAGACGCAGAAATTCTCATTAATTCAAGCAGAAATTTAAAAAAAGAAATCTACAGGGCCAGAAAGATAGTATAGCATATAAGGTGCTTGCTTTACATTTGATTGACCTGGGTTTGATTCCCAGCACACCATATGATTCTCAAGCCTTCCAGGAGTGAGCCCTGAGCACAGAGCCAGGCATAAGTCCTGAGCACTTCTGAGTGTTCCGCTCTCCCCCACCCCCCGCCAATGTACTTAGTACATAATTGAAAGTAAACATCAAAAAATTATTTAAAAATCCAGGGGGGGGAAAGAAAAAAGTTCTAAGGCTCAGACAGATAGCTGATGTCTCAAGATAATCCACAATGGTAAAAAACAGGGAAATGATATTCTAAGACCTAAAAAAAAAAAAAAGCCAAACACCCTACAATTTAAACCACCTGAAAACTCCTAAACGTGGATTAAACAATTGAATATAAGGCCCAAAATTCCTAGCAATGAGTATAATTTAAAAACAAAAGAAACAGAAATAAACACAAAGCCAATACAAAGAAAGAAAGTAGGATTGGTGCTATAGAAACTAAACTCAGTAAAAAGATAGTAAGTTGACATTAGATAAGTAAGTGCACACATTCCTATAGCACAAGAAGAAAAACACTAATAGTTTTATGTTATTGAAATTTTAAGATGTAAGTAAAAAAACCTTTCATGGAGAAAAATAGTTTTACCAGCAAACTCTACCCCACATTTTAAGAGACTATACTCAAATATTACAGAAAGTCTCCCAAAGGAAAGAAAAATAAAATAAAGAATCCAAGTTTAATTTATGATGCTAGGATAACTTCCAAATATCTTTTATTTATTTCCTAAAATGACATTAGGAAAGAAAAACATTATAAACCAATCTTACCCATGAACCACAGAAATATACACACACAAGGCACAGAAAATGAGTGAACTGAAAGCAACATACACAAAGGATTACCATATTAGGACGATGTTGCCTTTATCTTGAAACTGAGGCTGTTTTACATTAGAAATTGATGAAAAAGAAACAAAATTGTAACTTTTCCTAGATAAAACTTCTGTTGATCTCCTGGAGTTTATCACTTATTTTACTGTATTGATTTATATCCAAATCATTCATTCATTTTAATTAATTTATATGTATGGTTTTAAATAGAGATTTAACTGCTACTTCTTCCTCTTCCTTTTTCACTCTTCCTCCTGCTTCTTCTCCTTTGTGTGGCTGGCAGTTTCACCAGCAGTGTTTGTTGAAGAACATTTCCTTTGTCCAGAAAATTCCCTTTCTGTATAGTATACTTGGGGTTCCGTGAGCCTATCTTAGTCGTCCATACAATGTGTGGGTTATTTCTGAGCTCTCTATCCCATCCCATTGATTTGTGTGTCTGTTTAACTTTCAATACCATTCTATTTTAATTACTATTACTTTGTAAGATATTTTGAAACCAGGTTATGTAATGCATCCATTTGCTTCTACAATGTGTATGGAAATACTGCACTGCACTGTCCTCCCGTTGTTCATCGATTTGCTCAAGCGGGTCCAGTAACGTCTCCATCGTGAGACTTGTTGTACTGTGTTTGGCATATTGAATACGTCATGGGTAGCTTGCCAGGCTGAGAGGGGTGGAGGAATCGAACCCGGCTCAGCCAGGCTGGCTGCACTCAAGGCAAAAGCCCTAC